GTCTAATGACCGATGTCCCAATTGTATATAGAGAGATTAACATGGTACTCTATAATTTTAGAGTTGCACTATATATGTATTTGAAACACACACACTTCCCACTTAGGCCTACAGTTTAAATATGTTTTATTAGGGTATCTCCAATGGTACTTTATAATTTTTATTCTAAAATAGTACAATTCTATTATAGAGTTAAATTTGCTCCAATGATTTACTATATAATAGAGTTACATTATAATAGAGTGTAATATAGAGGAATGTTGTTTTTTAGTCCAAATATAGAGGGAAAAACAACATTCTTCTATATCCCACTCTAATTATAGTATAACTCTATTATAGAGTAAACCATTGGAGCAAAATTCAACTCTATTATAAAGCTACACTATTTTAGAATGAAATATAGAGAGAATTATAGAGTACCATTAGAGATGGTGGAGGATGGTATTTGAGGTTTAAGCTTTTTTTTAACTAATTGAGATTTAAGCTTTATAGGTACAATTATACGTCGATTTCCCTATTTATAATTCTAAAAATCTGTGATAGTGGCTCATCGTTATACTGTGGCAGACAAGTTTTCTACCTAATTTTGTCCATAATACTAAATATTTACAACTTTTTAAAAATAAAAGCTATATATAATGATATGTCACTATTATTTACAAAGTAGTATATGTCAAAACAATCCAAGAAAGAGGTTTGTGATTTCCGCAATTGAAGCATAGACTACGTACCATATCATATTCAAATGTCACTCACTTGTACTTTAGAAATATTTTTGTGTGCTTATTATTGCATTTTTTAGTAAATAATAATAATTCAGTGGTATAAACGTATTTGCACTCGTTGGGACCGAGCGTCTATCACGGTAGGTTATTACTACCGTTCGTGGAGAAGGAGCCAATCACGGGACAATAAACATCGATAGTTTTCTTATTCTTTACCTTTTGTTATTTTCGACCTTAACCTTTTTCTAACTGTTAGTTGTTTAACAAATAATAAGCCGATCGTGATAAAAAAAAAAACAAATAATAAGCCGTGCGGATATATTGTTTTCTCCCACTTGCCATTTAATTTTAAACCAATTAAGATGTCGTCTATGATATAGCATACTTTTTTTTATCATCAAAAGAAATAGACTTATGAAAATAAACCCTATAAAGAATATATATATATATATATATGTATATTATATTATTTTCCGGTCCACTTTTAAAATATTTTATATAGTTCAATTGGTTAAAATTCTTTTTAATCTCAGCAAGTTCAAAGCCATTTTTTTTTCCACTGAAAGTTTCCTTTCTTATATAAACTTCCCATAAACAAGTACCAAGAGATTATATTTAACTTTTATTATTATTATTAATTAAATAACATGTCCATATTTTTCTGGTGCTTACGCTCTGAGTTACGAATCACAATAGTCTTGGATACCCTTTGAATTTATTGCATTTTCCAACTGGAATTCGACAATGAGAACTTTGTATCTGATTCATTGTTGGATGCTGCAAATCCTAGCCAAAATGATTCGTACAAAATTTTGAAAATACAACTTACCTATATTTCATAATTTTATTGAATTTTCCATGTTTAATTATATCTTTGGATTCTTAATACCATTATATTTTTAATATATAAAAATATTAAATAATATTTAAACTTAAGTTTATATAATAAAACATTTGGTGATTCATCCGCGTCTATACGCGAGAATGAACCTTTACGAAAAAATAAATTAAAATAGTTTATTAATATTTATTTTTTGTTTTCTTTGTCTAGTTTTGTAGCTTATATATTTTATTTGAGACTCTTGTTTGTGATTTATTGAGTTGTGTAATTTTTTTATTCAAATAAACTAAAATTTGATTTTATTTTGGTGTTGTTAATTTCTTATCATTTGTATGGTTATTTTAATTATAGTTTCATATACTCTTTGTTTGGTTTATTATTAATATTTGGAAATGCACAAATCACTTATAATATTTATAAACTAACAAAATTGAAAAGTTGAATTTTTTTGTTTAAGACCTATTTAAAATTGTATAATTTAAAATATATCATTACATTAAAAAGTTATCAACTGAAATTAAGATTTATCATTTCAGTCAAAGTTGTTTTTTTTTTTTTGAAAAAAGCCAAAGTTGTTAATCTAATTAAACACTCAAATATTTTTAAAAAAGAAAACAAACATAAATTCAATTAAAACGAAATAATGTTTTAGAAAGTTTAACTAAATTTGATAATAACTTTCACTTTTGCACTCTCAATCACGTAACAATAATAATAGTTATCACATGCATATCATGTCAATTTGATAGATAATTCATAATGCCCTTCATATGATTACATTACTAGCTGGTTGTGATTCATTTGGCAGCATATTTTAATTCCAAAGCTCAATCAATCGCTGGTAACATTTACTATTCCATCACATGATATTTCCGGTTTATTAGCATTATGTAAACCGATACTGGTTTTTTTAGTTTATCCTCATAATCGGTGTATATAAATCACTGGTTAGTAAGCACTTTAAAAGACACGAGACAATCATGTAACTATATTATATTAACAAAAGTGACGTAACAAAATGAACATCGCCAGGATAAATTTTGAAATGCACGTGGACGCGGTAGGGTAAACAAAGTGTGTCGGTCGGTTCTAATTCCGGTTAATAAATTATTTGGGTTGGATTTTAGTGACCGACCGACACTATCCCGAGTTCACCGATAACAAAGTTCGGAAAGTTCGACCAGGGACCGTCAAATAATAGTGGTCCCACTACCCAGAGTTTCCATCGAACGTTCCATATATGTTCAGTGAGACAAGACGGACACGTGTCTAGTTAAGAAGATGAGACGTTCTTCTCGTGTGCACATGAGCGCATGTTCAAGCACGCTGACAGACGAAAGTGGTCCCTGCCACGTGAGGTTTGTGATCGCCTCATTTTGACACAGCAACGTGGTGGTCTCCGGCGGCGCCTCACTTGACGTTAACGTTGACATACATACCGGTTCAACATTTATTTGGGTCTCCGGGTAAAAAAATTTCTTCAACTTTTAATATTTATAGCTATTAAAATTTAAATATATTCTAAAATTTTTATTATTAACAACTTTATAAAATTTGTGATAAAAATAAATTATATATATCTATACTATTATTTAAGAAGTAAATTTACTTAGTTGTCATGTTCTCCATAAGTTTAGATAATTTTATTTATTTATCATATTTTTAATATTTATATATTTTATTTATCAACAAAACAAATTAATATGAGTATATCATATTTTTAGAAAATAAGATAATTCTTGTGAATTATGTTGTTATCTTGAACTATATTTTTTATATATAAAACTTAAATTTTAAATTAATATATAAATATTTATTATATAACTAAAAAAATTTATATTAATAATTTATATTTTCTAAAATAAGATAATTCTTATGTATTATGTTGTTATGTTGAAATATATTTTTCTATTATAAAACTTAAAACTAAGACATAAAATTATATTATTAATAATTAAATATAAATCATCAAAACAATTATTTGAAAACTGAAGTTGTTGATTTATCAACTTCTCCATGATCCTAGGTAATTTTAATCATTTATTATAATTTCTTTAATTTTTTTTTATTGATTATATAATGAAAACTAATTTATATTAATAATATGATATTTTAGAAAATAAGTTAATTCTTATGTATTATGTTGTTATATTGAAATTATATTTTTTATTATAAAAATTAAAATTAACATGTAAAAAATCTATACTATTATTTAAGAAGTGAATGGATGTTTGCTGATTTATCATATTTTCCATGGTTTTAGTTAACTTTGATAATTTATCATAATTTCTATAATTTTATATATAATTTATTATATTAAAAAAAATTTATATTAATAGTATCAGAATTTTTTAAAAATAGGATACTTCGTAAGTATTATGTTGTTGTCTTGAAATATATTTTTCTATTAGCAATTTAAAATTAAGATATAAGAAGTTGTAGTTATTCTATAATTAAAATAAATTTACACTAATAATATTATACTTTTAGAAAATAAGGTAATACTTATGTATTATGTTGTCATTTTAAAAATATATTTTCATATTATAAAATTTAAAAGTAAAATAGAAAATTATCTATTATTAATTAAATATAAATCATCACTCAAACAAAACTATTTAAGAAGTGAATTTGTTGATTTGTTAACTTCTCCATGATTTTAAGTAATTTTAGTTATATGTCATCATTTCTATAATCTTATATATTTATTATATAATTAAAACAAATTTATCATATTATATTTTTAGAAAATAAATAAGTTATCCATTATTGTTATCTTGAAATATGCTTTTCTATTATAAAATTTAAAATTAAGATATAAAAATTATAATTAAATATAAATTAAGTAAAAATATTTATAAAAATATTATAGTTAAATATAAACCAAGGAGAATAATTATAGAAATATATTCTTGTAAATATTTATGATGTTTGAGTTCTATCATTTATAATTATTTGATGTTTGATTTGTACTTTTTGAAAACATAGTAATAATTTAATGAAACATCAACTAAGAAATATTCATAAAAGAATTATGCCCGCAAGTGAGGACAAAACACCTAGTGTAAAATATTTTAGGATCTATTTAACTAAAATTATGTATATCTAAAATATTTTAGGACCTATTTAACTAAAATTATGTATATGTAAAATATTTTAGTGCCCTATTCAACTAAAATTTATAAATATTTAAAAAAATTTATATATAAATATGTATGTATAAAAAATATTTGACTCCTTAATTAGTAAAATCGGGGGATACGGATTTTGGACCCAAGACAGTCGCACCGTTTGTCCCCCATGTAAGCCGGCACTGTCTAAACGCTAAAGACAGACTAAAACTGAAACTACAATTAACTTTCGATCTTTCTAAAGAAACCCAATTTGTTTCGTTATGTTTCATATATCCCTCTAACATTTACATTGAGAGTTCCATTTATTATAAGCTTGGCTGTAATCTTAACTTTCCTTTTGAGCCAAACAATAATGTGAACACAATGTACAATAATATTCTATCAGCTTGCCACCGTTACTACTTTGACAATACATGCCCAGGTGTAAAGGCCTACTTATAAAGACTAATTAAGCCTATAAACAAGAAGCTCATCAAACTCAGAAACAAAAAAAAGGCCCAAAAGTAAAAAGAGATGCATGCTTGGGTTTTTTCACTTACTTATACATGAACAAAAAACATTCCACAAATTTTCTTACCAAATCGAAGTCAAATTCTCCGGGCAACTTGTACTAATATCAGACTCCGAGGAAAACAAAAGAGAAAAAAAACATAGTACAAAGCTAATCTTTCCAACCTTCTTTCGTGAGTCGTCTAGGAGCAAGTCCTCTAGAGGAAACACTCGGTGTGAGTGGCATCACCGGCTGTTCTTCATCACCATCTCCCCAATCATCTCCCCAGTTATTATTCCATCCATCATCACCACCACTTTCTTGATCCGATTTCGACACCAACGCGTTGTTAGAGACTGGCAACTCCATGTCCAGCCTCTGGTATTTGCTTTTCCCCTGCGACTTGCTTCTGTAAACGTGGTAGATCACTGGAATGACAACAAGGGAGAGAACTAGGAAAGAAATCATGGCGATGACAATGAGTGTCCGCGAGCTGATGTTAAGGAACGAAAGGCGAGAAACAGACACTGCATCGTGGTCTCCTGTATCATGTGCTGCAGCGGCTAAATCTTTAAAATCAAGGCTGCAATGACCACCGTTACTTGAAGTGAGTATGATCGCACTATCGTTAGACCCTCCTTTCTTAATAGAGACTTTCACCTGCAATAACAAAAAAGATGTGAAGTCAGCAATAGGTTTGAGTTTAACCATCAATGGTTACAAGACTGAGATAGTAACCTTGGTGTCTTGGCTTTCAAGAAGGTGAACTTTACTCGTCTCTAAGCGGACGAAAGTGGGAGCAGTTATAGTAAGATCCAATACAGTTTTAGCTTTGTTCTTAATCAGGAGAGAGAGATGAGGCGCATCTGCACAAAACAATGCAGGCTTAAAATCACATAGAGAGAGAGATTCTAGAAGAAAAGAGAGAGACTAACCATCACCAGGGACACGGAGACAAGCGAGAAACAGATTCTGCTCATCAGAACACATATAAGATGGATCACACTCTTCACCTTGTTTCTTCCTTGAACCTTCTTCCTCCTTCTTATCTCCATCACTAGGTTTAGTCTCAGATCTTAATTGATCGGTGGTGTTAGTAGAATGATCGCTACTCTTGGAGTCAGTTACAATCTGAGGTAGACTTGGATTGGTCAAATTGGAGATGAGTTGTGCCTCTCCATCAACCTAATTTTCAACAATTAATCAATCAATCTTAATCGATTTGGGAAAATCAAAAATAGGAAGAATCTAGGGTTTACCTTAGAGAATCTAGTCCCGGAAAGGAAAGCTATACACAGAAGCAAAACGAAGAAATGCGCATCCATTTTCAATGATCAAGATTCCATCTGGGATCCACAAGATCGAAGTAAGTAAGATTTCATCTAAATACCAAAAAACAAATAAGAATCAACTCACGAATTTTTTTGATATATGTATGATTTTCCAGTATCCGCTCCTCAAATCGAATCGGAATCGGAATGAAGCAGAGATTGATAGGTTCGAGCTAGAAGAAGAAGGAGAAGTGAGTCGCAGCAGAGACTAATTTTCCACTTTAGTCGTCCCTCCAGCTTGTTTCGTGTGCTTAAACCGAATTTTAATTCTATACGGCAACGTTTCCTGGGATTTTAGATGAGGACAAAAAATGCAGCTTTGGGCCGTTTGGGTTTTAGAATCTAGGTTTCACTGTCAGGGCCTTATTTTCGATTTCACATTAACATCCCTCATGCAGCTCTTCATTTTTAACATATACAAATGCCCCATCTTTGGTGTTTAAAAAAATTCAGTTGAATAAGGTGAATGGAAAGAGTGTCCACGTCCTTTTAAAAAAATCAACCAATAGTGAAATTTTATTTTGCCACCTTAGACCGTCTACAAGTTACAACCGAGCAACACTTTTGTGGGCTAACAGAAAATCAAAACTGACCCATATAAACCCTTCTCTCCTTCAAGCACGATGTTCGTCGCAAGCTGCGTTCTCCAACTCTTCGCAAGCAGTATTTTCAATTTCTAATACTCGCCATTATTGTGAACTCATAAAGCCTCTTAATCATTAAATTATGTTCTTTACTTCTCTCTTCATGAGAGATGGGGTATCCAATAATTAGTTTAGTAGTCGCAGACTCGCAACCTGTCGAAACTCTATGAATCCCACCTTCTCACACTATAAATAACATGAGTCTCTCTCTCACAACCACTACACTCCAAACAACGTTGATATTATTCATCGTCTCCACTGCACATAGATTGGTGAAACCTACAATCTTCGTGTCTCACAATCCGAGTAGAACCTCGTTGACTTGGTCTTGCAATGCTGTTGATACATGAACATGTATATAAACTACCTAATAAAATCACTTTCAATCGTTGTATCTCCTACTACTGTACTTACCAATTTCTGTTATTTTAGGGTTTGTTTGATTCCAGATTGTTTTGTATGTTACATAACTGAATCTAAAGAGTTTATGATTGCATTTATCTATTATGGAATCCAATCAGTCACAGTTACCATTTCAGAACGTTTCGAACAGCTTCATCTGCCCCAGTAGCACCGCTGATTCTCCACATGTGGGTATTATTTTCTCATCCTCCTGCTAAAATTTTGAGCTTTAAGCTGTTTACTCATGCCTAACTTTCCATTTCAGGCCTAAAATACCGTTTCTGTTCTTTTTATCAGGAGCGGTTCCACACTCAAGAAAGTGAGATATGCATATAGGAGCTACTGCAAGATTCAGAGACGAAATCAGGAAGACGGTTCTGCAAACATCTACCCCGATAATCACTTATGAAAGATTGGTACATGTCTCTGCATTCCCGTACTACGAATGAGACATATAAAATATGATTTGCCTATGAATTAATTATCTCAGGATCCAACGTAAGTGCATACATAAACATGCTCTGTGATTCATTGAGAAACTCGCTTCCCAAAGCTGTTGTTATTGCCAATTAGAGAAGCTAATATATCTCTCAGCTTCTTCTACTCTCAAGTCGACAAGAAAGAGGTAAAACAATATTGATTACCCTTTCATATTAAAGGATGGATGGCACTTTCTAATGATTCTATAAAATAAATATTTATTATGTCATCCGAAGAAAATGAACTAATGAATAGTATAAGTAAAATTTATTGATATGACAATCTTAGTTTTTCTGTAATTAAAAACCTATGATAAATTTGCATTTTTATTTGTTTTAGATCTAAAATCTAATTTTATGATGTTTTCAAATCTTTTTGAACACTCGAGATTAGCATATCAATATTATATACAAGATGACATGGTAAGTATTTTTTAAATTTTTATGTAGATATTCATATTCGTCCATTAAATAATACCATGCACGCAAAAGTGATATTCAAATTAATTGAAAAATATAACTTGCATAAAACTTAGAATTATTATCATTTAAAAAACATTGGAAGTATTAATTACCATAAAGATAAAAAATATTTTGTTGTTTAGTTTAAATAATTGATATTTATATTTAAATTAAGTGTTAGTGGCATGACATTTTAATTAACTTAAAAAGCAAGGACAAAATCATATGAAGGCTTCTTCTTTAATAGTATATATTCTGAAACAAAGTAATTAGTAGTTAATATAATGAAATTTACTCGGATAACATAAAGAAATATTAATGCTTTATTGTAAATTTATTATTCCATATATTTTTCCAATATAAAAATATGAATAGGTATTATATTAATTGATTTTTTGTCTAAAAATGATACAACTATTTATATTATTATTCCAGTTTATAATTAATGTTTATATTTTTATTGAAACATATAAAATATAAATTGAAAATTTGTATTATTATCAAGGGCTTATTTGTGAAATAGTCAAGAAAAGATAAAAATTGGTTTTGTAGAGATAATATATAGAGAGAAAGGAAGAGAAAATATGTGAGAGAGTTTTACTTTGGTTAGTGAGTGAATTTATACTTTCGAGAATTTATATGAGAAATTCTAGGTTCACCAACCAATAAGATTTAGTTAGTTTAGATACAATATCTTTTAAAAAAGGAAACCAAATAATAAGAATTTTGTGAAGTTATATTATGTTTTTAAAATAAATAAAAAATAGTAGTTACTAATTACCAAAAAAAACTTTTAATATTGTTAAACTCGTTATCAAAGTATTAAAGTCTGACGACAAAAAAAACTATTAAACTCTAAACCCTAGATTCTTGGGCAAATCCTAAACCATAAACCCTTACGGTTTAGGATTAAGGATTTTTCCAAAGATTCAGAGTTTAGGGTTTAATGTTTAGAATTTATGTTTTAGAATTAAATGTTTCTTGTTTAGGGTTTAGTTTAGAGTTTATGATTAAATGGCCAGGGTTTAGGATTTGTCCAAGGGTTCAAGATTTATCCAAATATTTATGGTTTAGAATTTAGAATATTTAATATTTTGCTGATGAGTTTAACAATATTAAACTAAATCTTTTTTGATAATTATTATAATTTTTTATTTATTTTAGAAACATAATATTATTTCACAAATTCTTATTATTTTGATTTCTTTTTTTTTAAATATTGAATCTATGATAATTAATCATATTGGTTGGCCTAAGAATAACTCAATTTATATTATCAAACTTAAAATTCAATTTGGGTGATGTTAAAAACAAAAAAAGTTCAATTTGGGCTGCTTGTATATATTCATATCTGTTAATAATGGGTTTCCATGTTTTGGAATGTTTGTGTACACGCATTTAGTGATCCTAGCCCAAACAAAATGAAAAAACTATGCATATCTGACCGTTCTATCTAGGCCTGGGCTTTCGGGCACCCATTCAGGTTCGGATCGGTATATCGGATATCGGTTCTTTTTTATAACAGCTCCTAGGTCCCATTTTAAAAGATTCTTAAATTCGGATCAGGATCGGAGATAACACATCGATTTCGGTTTGGGTTCGGATTATACTGAAGTTACCGCATATCATTTGGGTTCGGGTTTTAGTGTAAAATTCAAAGAAAAAAATTAACATAAGACACTTAACTTAAATTTATGAATCACAATTGTTGTGATTTGATTTATTGATACTCATTTTATGACGCCAACGAAGTAGAACAAAATCTGAAGATTTATAAATATGTAGAAATTATTGAAATTGTCATGTTTTCTATGTAAATGATAACATTAGACAAATGTTTACAAATCAATCACAGTGATAAGTGGAATATGAAAATTCACATAATATATAATCTAACAACACAAACTTTGTTAAGTAAGATGAACTGATAAGAACTAAGAAACATGTATGTCAAACTTTGGAAATAACAAAACATGTTTTCGAAATTGTCGACTTCATGTAATACATGTATATACTTATCTACATAATATATATACTTCGATTATATCATATTCTAATTCGGATTTCAGATTAAACCGAACCCATACCCGATAACCAAAGTATCAGCATATATCAAAACCGATTAGGTATTTTGATGGATCCATAACCGGTCGGGTTTGGGTTTTTTTGGTTCGAGTTTTTCTGGTTCGAGTTCGGGTTCGGTTCTGAATTATGGATTATCCCAGACCTAGTTCTATTATAGGAAGAAAATTGATGAAACCGAAGCAAAAATAGAAAAAAACGTTCTTCTTTCTACACAGTTGTTGAATTGAGTAGAAAATTCTATCAAATCACCAAAATCGCCACACCATTCAAATCAAATAGAAAAACAGATCAAAGATGGCTCCGAAATCTAAGTTGATGTAGGGAAAGTGAAATTTAGAAGAAGTTATAAAGGTTCACTCATAAGTTTCCATTAATTCTTTACATGCATGTTCACTTTATTTCTTGTAACAGAGGAAACAGAGGATGAAACAGAGACTAACTCACAGTGTATCCCAATTTCCCTCAAAGCTTAGGAGATACATAACTTCCTAGATGGAAGGCAATTCGATCCTTACATAGAAAAGTTTCTATAGAAACTACAAAGAAAAAGAAGCAGAAAATGATTTAGAAGATTTGATTAAGGTTTGTTTTTGATTTTGTCTTTTAAGACTGTCCATTGGGCAAATAAAAGTTGGCAGTAACTTTGGTCAGTGTTATCCTGTGCAAGTGCGACAATCAGGCATCTTACTTTGACTTACAATGACTTCACACGATTTTAGACCGACAACTTTTCACACAGTCAAATCAAAGCATAAGAGAGGTCCGAGTGTGAAGACCTCAAGGTTAGTTGAGTTGTAGCTAAGTTTAGTAAAGACTCCAACTAAGTGTAAGGGTCTGAAAGTGTACTAATGTAAAGTGTCCTCTCTCTTACTAGTCATGCGTGTATTCACACATGTGTAAGTGACTGAATATAAAAGTCATATGGTTTGAGTATCTTGAGGTTATCGCTCTTAGAATGTTCAATGGAACGATAGAAAGACTTGTTACATTTTTCTTCATGAGTCTCTGTGAAAGAATTCGAATTTCAACGTACAGAGCTTCCAATTCCCAATTAGATAATCCTGGATTGAAACTGAACCTAAACGCCACAAACTTTACCTACATAATTAGGATCATGCATTTATAGCAAAGAAAAAAAACATGCTCCTACTGTCTCTCGATCAAACAAGAAA